ACATCTTATGTCAGCAGGATTTCTCTCCACTGTAAGGTCTCCCATGTGTATGTAATATGTATGCCACTGAGGAAGTAGTGACGGTCTTTCCATGTTTCTTAACAGTATGGCTTCACGGTGAGTCCTCACATGCCGGCTGTGAGGAGACCGATGGCTTTGCCACATTCCTAACATTTGTAGAGCACCTCCCCGGCATTTTCCTCTCATGATGTTGAAGTGAATTACGTACAAAAAAAACTTTCCTACATTCCTTCCATTGACCAGGTTTCTCACCAGTGTGCACATGCTGATCCCTGATAACGGAAGAACTGGCAGATGTTTCCCACATGTATTTCTTCTTCCAAGTGTGAGATCTATAACGTCTAGGAAGACTTGAAGAAGCAAAGACTTTCCCACGTTTATCACATTCAAAAGACTTCTCTCCAGTGAGATTTAAAATATCTAGAAGAAGTTAAGGACGAAGCAAAGGCATCTCCACATTTCTCACATTGAAATGGCTTCTCTTCAGGGTGAGTTTTTAAATGTCGAGTAAGGCCTGAGAAATGAGTATATGTCTTCCCACATTTATTACACACAAAAGGCTTCACTCTAGTGTGAGTTTTCAAATGATTAATGAGGTTTGAAGACTGAACGAAGATTCTCCCACATTTCTTACATTCATAGGGTTTTACTCCAGTATGAATTCGAATGTGAACACGAAGGTGTGAGGACCTTCTAAAGGCCCTAGCACACTCCTGACACTCGTAGGGTTTTATCCCAGTATGAATTCGACTGTGAACATGAATGTCTGAGCACCATCTGAAGGATCTTCCACACTCCTTGCATTTGTAAGGTTTGATTCCAGTATGAATTCGACTGTGAACATTAAGGTATGAAGACCACTTAAAGGCTTTCCCACATGTGTCACATGCACAAGGCTTCCCGGCACTGTGTGTTACTCTAATTGTCTCCTAAGGCTTAAGGACGCAGCGGAGACCTTTCCACTTCCCTTACGTCTGGCACGTGTGTTAGCAGTGTGAGTTGGTACATGAGCACCAAGGCTGGCTGAGTGAACAGCTCTCCCATGTTTCTTCCGTCTGTAGGGCTCTTCTTTACTGTGAGTGGCGTCCTGTGCCTGAACGTGAGGTTCATTAACAAAGGCTCCCCCACCATCGCTGCACTCTAAGGCTTTCCCCTGTTTGCTCGATGTCCTGTGCACATGTGGGGCCAGCCTGACAGCTTTTCCAGAGTAAACACGGAACGTTTTTCTCCAGCACAAGATGTATTGTGTAGAGTAAGGAAGTTTATTCCATCCTGATTATCTCTGCAAATGTTCCTTCCACTTTTGAGTTCTCCTGTGTGTCTTAAGGCACAAGTGTTCCCTGAAGTCTCTCCCACGTTGCTTACAGTCACAGAGTTCCAGGCCACTGAGGCTTCTTTCCTGTGGATAAATGGATGGATGATGATTCAGGGATTTCTCAGACTCATTAACTGATCCGAGTCATCTCAACACAGAACCATCACCACAGTAACGATGATGACTTTTCCCATCTCCATGACGTTCATACACGTCCTGCCCAGTTGATTTCTTCCGAGTTAAAACAATGAAATCCTCCTGCCAGAATAATGTACCGTATACTCAAATCTCAAAAGGTTTCTACAGTTTCATGGGACTGTTTTTAAATAAGTGGGAATGAGTCCTGGTGGAAATTCTGAAGTGAGTTTCAATCTAGGCCTGGATATCCCCATAATTTGCATCACCAGAATTCTCAGAGAGACATGGCTCTCCCCAGGTGAATGCCACTCATCTCAAACATCTGTCACTGGTGCTCCCATTCTAGCTAATGAAGATCCCAAGCTGATCTGAATGTGGAAAATAAATACCTGGTTTGGACCTTACTGATTTTACGACTGGTGTCCCAGTCAACGGTTTTCCCCCAGCGTGTCCTGCTGAAGTGCCTAGCCTTTGGTTTTAAGTTGCATTTCCCATCCTAAAGGAAAAGAGAGTAACAAATTTAAGACTTTGCAGAAAGAAGTGGACCTTAAAGGAGTTAAAACAGTAAGACCTATTCTGTGTGTTTCCAAATTAAACATATCTTTTCAAAAGCCAGGACAGATTTGAGGCATTTGGCTATATCAAAAATTAAGCAGTAATATATATTATGTATTCAAAATTCAGCACTTGATTTAAAAAATGATTCTATGAAAATTAAATATGGGGAAAAGAGACAGAATATCATCAGGGAAACTTCTGGTCAAAGAGGATACATCAAAATGATACAACTAAAAAAGGAAACAAAAGGTTATTTTGTGAGATCATAAGAAATTCTGAGTAAATGGAAAGTGAGTACATATGAGAACTTGAAGAAATCACAGAGCATCAGAGACCAATGACCTCAGGCCTCTGAGAGAAAGCACATCTTAACAAGTTTTCTCCTTGTAATTTCAAAACGGAAATTTTTTTGACCAGGGATGTTCTTCACACTCACTCACCCTGGACGGCTCCCCTCTCCTCTGTCCTCAACTCTTCTTGTTCCAACCAGGAGATCAGAGTGGGTTTGAACCACTGATACCCTGTTCACAGGGAAAGATATGTTCATGGAAAAGGCCCTGCCAAACATGACAAACCTTCCCGTGAATCGGGTCCCATATTTCTAATGAATGTGGTGAAGTTATTTCCAAAGAGATAAAAAGGTAAATATCCCCTCATTCTGTGCCTCAAAGAGACTGTTTATCTGCAGCCCCTGAAACACAGGTTCAGACCTATATGTACATTCACAAAGCACTAAGACTTTATTAAAATAGGAAATAAAGTAAGTCAAAAAGAGATGTTCATACTCATGGAGAAGCCACTAAACTAGTGGTTGTCAAACTGTGGTGTCCACAAGAATCAGGTCCAGTGTTTGCTAAAACACAGATAATGGGGCCCAAATGCCAGTGTCATTCACTGTGTCGAAGGCGAACTCTGAGAATGCACATTTCTGACAGAGTGATGGTAATGTTCTAAAACCACACTGTTACAGAAACCACATGGGATTAAAACCCATTCCTGTAGAGACTAGTGTCTATTTCCACTGTGTTCAGACCGACATCACCCATCCTGTAAGAGCATCATATACATCTGCTCCCTAAGAGGCTACAGGAGTGGTGGCAGCCTTACCCGCAGTGGTCAGGTTCTTGTAGTTCTCTAGCATCACATCTCTGTACAGGTTTCTCTGAAAGGAGTCCAGTAGAATCCACTCCTCTTGGGTGAAGCCCACGGCCACATCAGCAAAGGTCACTGAGTCCTAAATGATCACACACACAGCTTCAGTAACGCAGGATCTCCTCCAATGATCAGTGGGGAATGAATGTGAGACCCAGTGTCAGTAGAGTTTCACGGTGTCTCATCACCTCCCCCAGGACGCAGTGGTCCGAGGCTCTCTTCTCTCTCTATACTCACCCATGATCAACGTCCTTCACTTGTGACTTTAACAGAACCAGAAACACAGTCCTAAGCAAACTGCAGACTCTTGTAAATGCTCACGAATAAATAAATTCACTGAGAAATACACACTCTCATCTTCCTTAGCATGTCAGAGCAGCAGGCAAAATAAAAACATGCAGTCTTAATCATGAAAGAAGGTAAGTATTGAAATACTGAGATTATTCAGAGTAACCCCTCATCAATATGAGAGCCTCCATTTTAGGAAGGAATTCAACAGGGGCTGAGTACTGCAGCGGCTTTCTTTCTTTAAGAAGCTCAGGAGACTGGTCTACCTAGAAGGAAATGTGTCCATCTGGTGGACGCAGGACATCATTTTGTAGAAGGATAACTTTCTTCTTACCTGAGGACGATTTCTCACACAGTCAGCCACCATCTGTCTGCCTCTCTTTTCCTCAGGAAGGCAGAAAGGGTCCTTAGAAAGAACACCTAGGAGAAAAGGAAGGAGACAGGAGCACTCAGGGAGGACCACAATTCCCACATCCACTGCCCGGAAGTCATTCCATTCTAGCTCCAAATCCCTGCACACTTAGGAAATCCCTCAAAGAGGAGACCTGCTGGTAGGAGGATCCTGAGCTCACCGCACCCCACCCCACCCCCGCCAGGAATACCTCAAAATGCACCTACACTGGAGCAACTCTCACTGACAACAAAGTAGAGACAAGCAGAAAGGCACTTCTACAAGCAGCGCTGTAGGAAAAGCTCCACTAGGGGCAGGTAGGAAGGGAGGGGAAGCAATCAGGTTGAAAAACATGCCCCCTGGAGGGGACTCAGAAGAGGAGGGGCCGCCGTGGGCTCAGAGGTTTGAACCACAAACTGGGGACCCCAGCCTTGTGCTCTGATACCAGGAAGTCAAGCCCCCTTAGCTGGTCTGAAAACAGGAAGGACTCCCAGGATGGCTGCAAGAATCCAAGACTCCATCTGTGAAGAGGGTGCCCAGCTTGCTTCCTCCCGGGAACAAGGTGAGGAAGCCAATTAAAACTTCCAGAAGCTCTGGTCAGTTTCCCGTGACCGTCCCAGCATGCGCCCCGGCCCCGCGAGCCCTGGCCCAGCTCCCCCACTCCCCAGGGACCAGCCTGCGTTGCCAAGGAAAGTGCACACGTGGGGAACGTAGCTCACTCGCCCCGGCACTGCCTGAACCTCTGCCTGGCTTGCCAGGGGTCCCGTGTGCGCCTGGCCCGCTACAGCCCTCCTGCCCCAGCGCCGCTCCCCTCTGGGCAGAGGTACCACTGCTGGGAGGAGAGAGCGCACACACCTGGAGGGGACAGGACCAACTCAGACCCAACCCTCAGGGCTCCTGCTTCCAGCATCTTGGGACCTGCCCCTGCCCCACCGATAGAGCGGTGACAGCCACTGCGCACAGAAGGCCCGGCTCACACGCGGCTGCGGCTCTAGCCCCTCCGTCTCCAGCCTCACTTGCCAACAAGATGACAACTGCCAGCACACCCTGAGCAAAGACCTAAGTCACGCTCACTTTAGATCCAGCAACCCCACCAAAGCCACTGGGCACCACAGACTGCATTGGGACCCGCCCACGTAAGGACACCCCTTCAAAAGATGGGATAGGTAACTGCTTCACTTAATTTTATAGAGACAAAGTTAAAATGAGAAGACAAAGGAATTTTTTTTAATATAAAAGAACAAGGAAAAAAATCCTGGTGGGACAACTGATTAAAGAGAGAAATAATATACTGAATAAAGAGTTTAAAGTATTAGTAATAAGAATGCTAACTGCACTTGAGAAAATAGAAGAACAGTGAGAATTGTAACAAGGAACTAAAAAATATAAAAAAGGACCAGTTAGAGCTTAAGAATATAGTAACTGAAATTAAGACACTAGAAAGAGGGGAAGGTATAGCTCAGTGGTAGAGTGCATGCTTAGCATGCACAAGGTCCTGGGTTCAATTTCTAGTACCCCCATTAATGATAAATAAAAACCTAATTACCTCCCTGCTCTGCCCCCAAAGAAACGCACTAGAAAGAATTATCAACAGACTAGGTGATAAATGAGAATGCATAAGTGATCTTGAAGACAGAGAGGAAATAAATAAAAGAGACCCCCCTCACACACAAAAAAAGAACCCCACAATAGAAAATACTGGCAAAACCAAGACAAGGGCTTCCAAAAACATAAATAAAACTGATAAGGCTTTAGCCCAGCTTATTAATAGAAAGAGGGAGAGGACCAAATAAACAAAATAAGAAATTAAAGAAGAGATATTACAGCTGACATTATAGAGACACAAATAATCATTTAAAAGAATACTATGAACAGTTACAGGTCAACAAACTGGACAATCTATAATAAACTGAAATCAGATCCTCTGCTAGCTGGCTTAATGACATATGTGACCATGTGGGAAAAAAAAGCTACATGCAGCCTTTAGGAGCCAAGGGGGGCCTCAAGCTGGCACCAGCAAGTTATTCTACAGCAGTGAAGAAATGAATTTTGCAAATTACCCAAGTGACTATAGAAACGACTTATCTTCCC